TTTTTTTTTGGTAGAGGGAATCAAACTTGGGACCTTGTGCTTCAGAGGCAGGTGGCCCCACCACTGAGCTAAATCCCCGACCGAGTTTCATTTAGTTTTAAATGATAGCTTTATTATTTTTCTCTATTGTAAGTATTCCTAAATTATTTATTGGCCTGATGTCTTTTAAACATAATGATAGTTTGATTTGTTAAAAAGCAATTTTTGTTGAGTGGACAGGGAATGTGTTGCATGCTAACATTTCTTGAACATTTATTCAGTAAATGAATGTTTTTGGTGTGAATGTTAGGTATTTTGTAGGATATCAAGTTATATAAGACAAGATTTTTTTTTTTTTTTTGTACTGGGGATTGAACCCAGGGCCTTCACATTGAGCTACATCTCCATCCCTTTATTTTGAGACTGGGGCTTGCTAAATTGCTCAGGCTGGGCTGGAGCTTGCCATCCTCCTGCCACAGCCTCCCAGAATGTTGAGATGACAGACATGTGTCACCACACCCTGCTAAAACAGGGATAGGAGGTGTTTTTGTTTTTGTTTTTGTTTTAGACAGGATCGCTCTCTGTGTACTCCAGGCTGGCTTTAAAGTCCCTAGTGCAGGGTGGTTTAGAGCTTGCAGGGATCCTCTTGCCTCAGACTCCTGAAGGCTAGGATTACAGGCTTGCACTACCACGCCTAGCTCCAGGAAGGGCTATTTATTTTTATTTTTATTTTTTATTTTTTGGTACTGGGGATGGAACTCGGGACCTTGTGCTTTCAAGGAGGCAGGCAACGGAACCACTAAGCTAAATGCCTGGCCCCTAGGGCTATTCTTAAGTAATCAATAGGCTTAAAACTTTTCTACTATAGGCTCAAATCAGTAAAAATTCAGTTTTTAGGTAACTTAATTATTTTATCACTTAAGTGATACATTAGAGATGTCCAGCTGTTTCCCCCCTCTTATTTATATGCTGTTCTAAAGTACTGAATATGTTGATCAAGAGATGGGAACAGTGCATAAGCTAAGAAGTGTCTATAAACAGGAGTGGGGGACATCCAGGAAGATGGCAGAGTGGTAAACAGAGAAACAGCCTCTCTGAGATTTGGTGTTCAGACACTGGAATATAGCAATGTGAGGAGGAGGAGGAGGGATGTGGGTCCCTAAGACTCAGCAAGGACCTGAAGCAAGAATTGAAGGCCACGTGAGAGCGAGGTGAGAGACTTCTACAAACAAAGAGGTGCCAAGCAATGCTTTTTCCCTGAGCCCTGACTCACTGTGTGGGAAGGGCAATTTAAATGTGCAGATGCATGGTGACTACTGGTGACCCCAGAGGCCTTCACAGAGAAATGCACCAGTGGAACAGAGCAGTGGATGCAGCAGACTGCAGTGTCTGGTGAGTTATTCAAGTTCAGATGTCTCTCAGTAGAGGGTAATTGACCAGTAGCAATCTTGGAGAGGGGTCAGTTGAGCTCCGAACTCAGAGCAGCTGCCAGCTGGCTCCAAAGGATGAGGCAGAACCAAGTTCAAGTCAGCAGAAAGTCAAAGAATTAACTTCAAGCCAGCATGGGTCTGAGTTCTAACTGGCAGGAGACACACGGAGTGTTGCAGGCTGAACAAGTCAAGTTCCAGCCTCACAGCCAGAAACAAGCCTGAGCTTCAGAACTAAAGGTGCAAATTTGCTGAGATTATCCGATACCCTGCTGTAAATCTATGGCTGGCTTGTTGGGATTAATCAACACAGAACTGGGCTCTGTGTGCCCAAAATATCTACTAGTGATAGCAGAAACATGTCTTGAAGTGGACTTTTTTCCTGTTCTGGTTTTTGTTTTCTTTTTTCTTAATTGTTCTTATTTTGTATAAGTGTAAACATTATTTATAGTTTTATTGTTCTTGTTCTGTTCTGTTCCTATTTTTATTTCTTCCCTCTTGTCATCTTCACCAGTTCCCCAAAATTTGTGTAATCCCTTTGTCCTCCAGCCTGGCTTCTAATTTCTTCTTCTTCCTCTTCCTCCTCCTCCTCCTTCTATTCCTCCTTCTGCTCCTCTTCCTCCTCCTCTTCCTCCTCCTCCTCCTTCTTTCTCTATTTTTTTTTCACCCTAATCCTTTATAAGTTTTCTCCCCTGAGGGTAAAATTCCCATACTGAGGGCATATTTACTGTATACAATTTTTCTTTGTTATATAACCACAAATCTAGTTCATATGATTAAAGGTGGCAAATCAGTAGTTACCACAATTTGTCATTTTCTAGGCTGTATTTGATGCTTTATTATTGGTGATTATACTCCTTTAGCCAAGGTGACATAGTTGTTCTAATCAGTTGTTCTTCCTGGTATGCCAAGACTGAGATTGCATATGGGTCATAAACAATACTGTAGGCCAATGCCAAAGAACCAGATGCTAAGCCAAATAGGCAGCACCTTCTCATCCCTAATAAGTTGAAGAAGTAGGATCTTGCAACAGACTCAAAACCCAAAAGCCAGCTATGCATGGAAGACATCTCTGAGTAGTCATTTCCTAAAAGTTCTAAATACTAGCAGTAAAGCTACTTGACATACACAATTTATAAGCATCAACCCCAGGAATTAAACTTTAAAAAAAAATAGAAAATGAGAAAACATTTAAGCAAGATGCAACCCCAAACTTCCACCTCACCAAAGGCAAACCCAGGGAGCAATGAGGTAGAACAATTTGAAACCCACCTACTTGGACTCTGAAATGGTAACAGTGGAAGTAACAAAGCAGATGAATGAGGCTTTAGAAAAAATCGAATCAGAAATAATCTCTCAGATAATTACAGAGATGGGGACCATAATGAAAGACATGGTTAGTGAATCTAGAGCAGATACAGATAAGTAGAGGAGCTTAGGAAAATGATGGAAACCATCAATGACCAACATAGGAAAAAAATGGAACCCATGAAACAAATTCAAACAGATATCCAAGAGATTAAGAATTCCATTGAAATTATACACAGCAGAATGAGCCAATGTGAGGATAAAATATCAGATATAGAGGACAAGATTCCAGTTAGTGATCATAAAAAGAGAAATCTCTTAAACATAGCAAGGGACTATGAAAAATCAATCCAACAGCTGCTAGGTGATGCAAAGAAGAATAACATAAGATTGATCAAAGCCCATGGAAAAAGCAGGCGATAGTGCAAACATAAAAAACCTGTTCACAAAAGTAATGGCAGAAAACTTCCCAAGCATGGAAAAAAGAATTTGACATAGAGATAACTGAGGCATATAGAACTCCAATTAGCCATGGTAAAAAAAAAAAAAACCTTCACCAAGGCATATAATAGTCAAGATTCAAGAAATTCAACACAAGAACACAATATTAAAAGCTGTTAGAGAAAAGAAATATCACCTAAAAAGGAAAGCCCTCAGAATCACAGAAAACTTCTCAATACAAACCCTCAAGTCAAGGAGAATTTGGAGTGAAGTATTTCAACTCCTAAAAGAAAACAACCTCCAACCCAGGTTGATGAACCCTGCAAAACTGTCTTTCAAAATTGATGGAAAAATAAGATACTTCCATGACAAAGAACATGTGAAGAAATTCATGACCACCAAACTAGCACTCCAAAATGTTCTGGACATTCTAGAGAGAAATAACAAAGACTGCAACTCCATGAGCCCCAACAGGAATGAATCCATCAAGGAAGGCAAATAAGCAGGGAGGGGGGGACCAACAACAGGAAAATAGCATGACAAGGATAAATCCATGCATATCAGTTATAACCATCAATGTAAATAGCCTTGATTCACCAATCAAAAGAAACAGACTGGCAGAATGGATCAAGAAGCAATATCCAACAATGTGCTGCATACCAGAAACACATTTGATTAAAAAAATTAATAGACTGAAAGTCAAATGATGGAAAACAATACTCCATATGACAGAAACCTCAAAAAAAACCACCAGGGGTAGCTATCCTATTTGCAGACAAAGCGGATTTCAAGCCAAGACTAATTAAGAGACACAAAGAAGGTCACCACATCCTTGTAAAGGGAACAATCCAAGAGGAAGAGATAATCAAATATATATGCACCACATACCAGCACACTCAACTATATAAAACAAATATTAATGGACATAAAAAATCAAATAAGCACTAGTATGAGGGACCTCAATATTCCACTGTCACAGATAGATCAACTAGGCAAAAAATCAACAATGTCAGAACTGAACCAAACTTTTGTAAA